CGAACCTCCCTCATTCATTCAACATATACTAGAGAACTAAAGGGACTAAAAAAATTAATTGACTACAGCTCAATGAGACAACCAAATGAAGTTGTTAGTAGGGCTGTCAAAACGGCTCATTGTTTGTGAAAAGTTCGTGTTCGATTCATACGCTAAGCAATATATATATATATAGATAATTAACGAGTAATATCTTTAAATAATTAATTTTCTACAATGCTACAAAAATTTATAATCAATTAAAACTATTAATTAAAAATAGAATAAAAATTATTAATTTATGTTTAATGATGTTTTAATATAAATTAAAAAATTTAAATTTCACCCCTAACCTTAACATCCTACAGCTGTGTGATTAGGATTGTTAAAACGGATCTTTGTTCGCGAATAGCTCGTGTTCAGCTAGCTAAGCAAACAAGCCGAACAAGAACAAATTTTGTGTTCGAAATATAAACGAGTCAAGCATGAGCAGTGATATTTTTTAACGAGTCAAACACGAGCTGAGCCAGGGCTCACTCATGTTCGGCTTGTTACACCCCTAGCTGTTAGAACTCCTTGTTTATGTTATCTTATATACACAGTCATTCAATCCTTCATCATTGTCAGCTCCTTCTCAATTCTAGGACTATGAACCTCAAAATCTTTGGAGGAGGGTTCTTGGGCAGTGAATCCTAAAATACTTGAATAAAGCCTAATATGTGTGTGGGTTGGGCAACTCGTCAAGCATCATTAGGTTTGTTGATGGAACCCAATCAAACATGGTTCGACTTGCCACCTTATGTGCAAATCGAGCCAATTGCAAGCAGGAACCACATAGAGACCTTCCTATCAAATAGATCTCTCCCCCTATAAAACGATAATGGTCCACTACTTTTTTGGGTCGTGTTGAGATCGAATCAAAGGATTTAAAATTAAATTTAACCTTATGTGTGTATGACAGAACTCCATGATATGCACAGGATAATTAAATGCCTAAATTATTGACATGATGTTTTCATTCGAGAGCTCAAATTAAATTGAATGCATAAATTCTAGACCAAATTCAGCCTAATATAGACCCTCCAGAGCATTTTAAGCCCTAAATACATGATTGAATTCTTCTTTCCTAGGTGATAAAAAAAATAGTAAACTTACAAAATTTAGTAAATGATGTTGGTCGGAAGTAAAAGAAAATCAAAGAATTCCTCTTATCAGAATTTCAATAACTTCCTTCAACCAAAGTTTTTTTATCTAAAGCACTTAACACCCTTCAACCAAAGTTTTTCAAAGAATTCTTCTTTCCAAGGTGATAAAAAAAAAAATAGTAAACTTACAAAATTTAGTAAATGATGTTGGTCGGAAGTAAAAGAAAATTAAAGAATTCCTATTATCAGAATTTTAATAACTTCCGTCAACAAAAGTTTTTTAATCTAAAGCACTTAACACCCTTAACTACACGTTTGAATTTGAATATTCTAATTTGGGAAAATTGTAATACCTACATTGTTGCATGTTGCATACCATGCACAAAGGTATAGACACTTGTACATAAGCACCCCTCTTGAATTTTTATTACAAATTTTTAGGTTCAGCACATGTATTAACAATTCTAGAACAAGCATTTAAGAATTTTATGCATAAGCACACCATAATAATTGTTGTATTTGTAATATAATATAATTTTTTAATGTAGTGTATTGTGTTGTGCCCTACATGAGCAAAGCCCCACAGAGTGATGGCTTTGAAACCTAAGCAGGTGAAGATCCTGCAATGTATATTGCTTTCCTCATTTCACCTGGATGCATACCCTCACATCTATCTTTCAAGAATTAACTAAAGATTTCTTATTTACTTTTGCTACTTTCCATCTACATAACTGCTCTACATTATAGTTGCTTAGTGTCTTCTACAATGATAATAGGCTCAAAAGTAATCTTATAACTAAAATTCATTCAACTTAAAACCAATTTAATTTTCAAGATTAGAAAATTATACCATCTCTCCTTGATAATCTTTTAAAATCAAATTAAATCCCCCTAAGCGTTGCTAGATATCATTGGCAGACATGAAAATGGCTCAAATTAGGATAAAAAATCAAACAAAAACATTATAATTATGTCCTTGAATGCATATGAGTTACAAGTCCTAATTGTTAATCAGTTTCCTTATAACATGCAAGCCTACGGTCATCACCCAAAAATTTCCCAATGCTAGTTAATGGTATTCATGGCATAGGAAAGGTACAAAACTATTCATCAATCCTTGTAACTCTTGAAAGATAATGTTGCAAGCTTCATGGTATGCGTCTTCCATATTTAGTGGAAGAAATATTGAACATATTCCATTGGTCCTTAAGGGCCTAGAATTCAATATTTTAGAGGCATTTTTTAGTTCAATATGTCTTGCTCTCGCTAGTTATTGTAAAGTGATAATCAACAACCTCACGTTAGTGATTAAAAAATATACACATGGTGGTTATTGTAAGTTCAATCTAAATGTTCTTCTCATTAATCATTTAGGACTTCTAAGCACTACCTCCCTTTTTGATCTTTGGAATGATTAGTCATAGGTACTAGTAGTTACCACCTTTAGGAATCTCCCTCAAAAAGAATCAAGGGCTCAATTTATTCGCTCCCATATTAGAAACATCAATCTCAAACAACACTAACATATTAAGTATTTGCACCCTTTTTTCTACAACTCTTTCAGTTGCAATCCATTAAGATAACTTTGATGATCAAGATGCATCAGATATTCCAAAATCCTTATCCTAACACATATTCTTTGTACAACACTCTGAGTTCTAAATTTATGGGATTTCCTTATGATTTAGATTCACCCAAAGTAATAGACTATAAGGCCATCGCACTTTTTATCAGTAATACTGCTAGGGGTAGCTCACTTAATTACCCCCCTATTATGAAGTTGTAAGATCAATTTTCCTCGATGTTCTTATTTAAGGCTTACCATTTAGTACCTCCATATTATAATTTTAACCCTTGACCATTCATCCATGGTAGTGTCCCTTCATCTATATCCATATCAAGATGTCATCGAGCCAAGAGGAGTCGAGCACACCATAGATTATACTAGATTTGGTAATACTAAAAGCTATCATGTTAATTTGAGCTCAAGAACTTTTAATATATGTTTGTACTTGATTTAAATTTTTAACCAAGCTTGGCTTATAATTGACTCTCTTTAATTAAACAAATAAATACTTGAACAAGCTACTAAATAAGCTAAAAAAATGAACGAGTAATTGACTTTTTATATTAACATAAAATTTACAATTTTAAATAAACAAATACAACAACAACAACAAAGTCTTAATCCCACTATGTGAGGTCGGCTACATGAATCATTTTTCTCCATTGCATCCTATTTAGTGTCATATTTTCATTTAGTTCTAGTAAATTAAGATCATTTTTTATACAATAAGCCCAAGTCTTCCTAGTTCTACCTCTGTCTTTCTTAACACAAGTCGAATCTAAAATATCTACTCTGCTAATCGGATCATCAGATGCTCGACGTTTAATGTGACCAAACCATCTAAGACGACTTCTCTACTTTTGTCTGTCACAGGAGCTACACAACCCCTATCACAGATATATTCATTTCACATTTTGTCTCTAAGTGTAAAGTCACTCATCCACCTAATCATTCTCATCTCGGCAACACTTAACTTAATATTATGATTCTCTTTTAAAGGCCAACATTCAGCACCATAGAGCATTGCAGGTTTCACCACTGTCTTATAAAATTTTCCTTTCAGTCTAAGCGGTACTTTTCTATCATACAAAAGGCCCGAAGCATTCCTCCACTTCAACCAACCAAATTGAATTCTACTATTAACATCCCCATCTATATCACCATTACTTTGCACAACAGACCCAATATATCTAAATCGTTCACACCTTTTATTATTTTGATCACCCAAAGTCACACTTTTGTTACTAGAACTACTACTACTAAAATTACATTCCATGTATTCAGTTTTAGTTCTACTTAAATGAAGGTCTTTAGACTCCAATGTAGACCTCCATAATTCAAGTTTTTTCTGGGCTTTTTCTCTTGTTTTATCCACGAGAAGAATATCATCAGCAAAAAGCATACACCAAGGTACATCCTCTTGTAGATGTCCAGTAAGACCATCCATAACTAAAGCAAAAAGATATGGGCTTAAAGTCGATCTGATCCCTGTTGTAAACAATTTTAAATAAGCAAATGATTCAATAAATTCGGCATTGGTGCTAACTACTTGACATAAATTAAACAATGTCAATGAAAAAATAATAATAAATAAGTAACAGACAATTTGTCTTGAAATCATAAAACATAAATAAATACTAGAAAATTTGCTTATGAAAATGGTGAAATCGTAAAATAGTACAAAAATTAATATAAGAATTTATTAATAATACATTAATTAATTCAAAAAAATCAAAAAGCTTTAAAATAAATATATATATTACCGTTAATTAAATTATTAAGTTCTATTTAACCAAAATTAATTAAACAATATATGAGCTATATAGAGCTTAATAGCAAGCCTTGAACAAGTTAGTTGTTGCCAACGAACAAGGTTGTCCATAAACATAAATAAGTAAATCATATTATGCACAAGCTTGATTCATTGAGAGTCCAAGTTTTTAAATAGAGTTCAAGCATGCTTAATTACAAACTAGAGCAAGTGTCAATCGAGCCAAATTTGAAGTATTCATCAAAAAGCCCTATATCAACCACTATCCTAAAATCCTCGAGGAATTTTACTCCAAAAATAATGTAAGGACTCTACCATTTAGGAAAAATATTTGGGATATATATTTAATCTATTTGCTTTGATTCATGAATTGGGGATTTCCTTCTGCCCTTCGGTGCTCTTTCAAGCAAACATTGTTGTACTAAAACTCAATTCTAATTTCACCATTAATCTGAGACTATTCACCATTCTTATAAGTAAATTCAAACCTAACCTAAAATCAATCAAAAACACAATCAAATGACAGAAAATTACTTACCATCACATGCATCATAGAACTCCCCCATCTCAGTTCCCAGCTTTCGCAGTCCCTCAGCTGCAGAGCCATCCTCCCCATCCAAACTACTAGCCGAGCTCATGGAATCCAGAAAATCAAGTATATCCTCTGTTTCCTCATTTACAGCAATCGCATTTCCTGAATTATTCTCTTCAACAGAGACAATCGGCGAAGATCCCAAATTCGCATCCAAATCAATTTCTCTTGCTTCATCTTTGGAAGCTATCTCCTTCTCAGCTTCCAATGGAGGTGGCGGCCTCAGTAGGCGAGGTCCTCGTCGCTTGTGGTTGACAATGTAGGGCGACGGTGGAAAGGAGGAAGGGGTGTCCGAAAGGGGAAGAGGGGTCACCGCCGGCGTGGCGTAGAGCGCTGGCGAGGCGAAAATCGGTCGAGAGTTCGCCGGCCTCGGTTCCAGTTGCGGCTTAGGGTTTCGCGAGGTTGGTTCCAGGAGCCGATCGAGCGATAACGCCGTCAACGTGGGCATCCTCGCAACTTAGCTTCGTCTCCAATTCAAAACTGGAGCACCAAAGAATCGTTCAGATTACAGATGATGAAGACAAATCAAACGCATCCCAAAGAAATCCCAACTTTTTACGGATTTTAACCTCGATTAGGGCTACGAACGCAGAAAATATAAAGGTTCTATGATCGTAGACGAAGGGAAGAAAGAGGTCGGAATCGATTGGCGGCGAAAAGTTTGGAATTTGGGAAACCCTAGCTGGTCCTTGGCCACTTAATATGTATTAATTTAAATAATTCGCGTAATTTTCATGGTCCTCAAAGTTGTTAAACTATTCAAATTACAGAACGCGAACACCCACCATTCGTCAATAGATGCAATGCAGGGTGATGTGGGTGCAAAAATGACAAAGCTGGACCGAGCAGGTGTTTGGTCAATGGAACGACGCGTGTCATAGCGTGGGAAACTCCCGCTTTCTAATAATCCCCAAATATGATTTATTTATGATACGGAACATGCCCACGTGTCTTTGTAAATGATACATCCCCAATAAATTTGTATCATCCACTATGAATTTCGAGCCATAAAATCATGCAATGAAAATATGACAAGCATAATGTCCCAAATAATTTTCATCAAAAAATTTTCATACACATGTAGAAGGAAGCAAAAGTTATCGGAACGTGCAACATAGTGCAAACAAACATAAAAAATTATGACTCAAAGTGAGTGATCGATCAGATCAGGAAAGCCGATCAAATTGAAAAGAATAGATGATTGAGTGGGTGGTTGATTGAACCGAAAGAATAGGGTGGTCGGATTGGGACGCCCGAACAAACCCAAATGATCGGACTTTCGAGCCGAGGCGGCGATCATACCGAAAGCATGGAATGATCGAATCAGGATGGTCGATCGAACCCAAGTCATCAGACGTGTGATTGAAGAGAAGTGCTCATGTAATCAAAATGCAATTATGCAAAAGTTGACAAATGAGCATGCAAGCCATATAATCCAATTTGTTCGATGACATATCGAACTCTTCCTACCGACCTCACATAGGATCTAGGGTCAATTGATTGAGAGGTGTACCAACGTCATATTGTGCGAGGCAACATGACGCCCACCTCTGTTTACCTGGCATAAAGCGAAGAGTTTCTCACGATGAGAACTCTCTGCGACCGAGAGGGGGAAGATCAAAGAAATGACTTCATCCTCTCGATGTTGGCTTTAAATGTCTATCCAAATAAAACCATCGAAACAAACAGCGGAATCAGTACAATCGCGTCTTTCATTGGATTTTGGATCTGAGGCTTTGAGGGGAAATCACCCTATTCATGTGGATAAAATCAACGAAAGCTCCTTAACATAATGGTTTTTTCTAAGCACAAAAATCTTAGGCCTAAAATCTCCATCACAGACCTAAGGTACTTGTTAGGAGTAGTGTTGAACGGAGAGTGCTGGACGGAGAGAAGAAAAGTTGGGTTTTTTCAGATCTCTATGGTGCCTTACTAGCTAGCTCTATTGGCGAAGGTTCATTAACGAAGGTGGTGATTTTGGGCAAAATGAAGGGAGTGGAGGTAGAGCTTGGGGAGAGGAGCTCATAGTTGTAGAGGGGAGCTTGGGAGTTGCCGGCGATAGGGTTAGGTTGATGAGAGTTGTGCTAATAGAAACATCGGCAGTCGATGGAGGAGTGAGCCCGCAAGGGCTATGGTTCCGAAAAATGGGAAGGATGTGTGAGCTCCATGAGAAGAGTACGTCAATGAGGCGAGACTGTCGGTGAGGCGAGGCTGTCGGTGAGACGAGACTGATCGGCGAGGGGATTTGGCTGAAAGGCAGGTTTCGCTGAGGAACTATTAGCGATTGAGGGGGCTCAGTGAAAAAGAAAAAAATATACATAATGTTTTTTTTTTTAATTTATTTTCTTCAAGCTCTTTTTAGGATATGCATTGATTTATGTGCAATTTGCTCCTGCTCGGAACCACATCAATATGGTTTTTTAGGTAAATTTGACATTCTGAATGCACTCATATAGTCTGTTTTGTTGTATGGGGTCATCTTGAAAACTTCATCGACGATTGAGCCAATTTAAATATGATTCGCTTGTGCTGTGGAGAATGAGGTCTATTTGTCTGATCGAAGTCGCCCGACTGACCAAATGATGACTAACATTCGTCTAAGCAAAAACCAAAGTCTAGTAGAATAAACCTGACCACGTGCCCCTCAACACGTATCTAAGAGTCTCAAACGGATGTCTCAAGCGACGAGAAATATATACATGAAGCATGACCCCGATGCGCTTAGGTGGATATCCCCCACATATGATATCAAAAAAATTATACCAATAGAGAAATTTTTATACTTTTATGGTGACAATATCTAAGAGTCTCGTGCTCCCTGAAGAATAACAAAAGTACCAAAATTTTTAGGAGGCAATCCGCCGCTATTTGAGATGGACCAACCTCTTGTCGCCTTTGTACCAGTATTTGTTGGTCTTTATGATTTTTTAATCGTCTAATATGGTATTTGTAGATGATGATAATATATCTCTTTGTTTTATTGATGTTGCTTCTAAGATTGCTTTTGACTTTCCACGAGTTGTTGTTACTCAATTTATAGGATGACGTCACCCAACTTATTGGTCATTTTTGTCTTACTTCTTGGGTGCATAATGGTGTCGGCCTCTAGGTTTCTTCCTTCTATGGTTCTTTGGCTTCTCAAACATGCAAAAGTCTGTAATCAAAGTTAGCATGTGCATTTTATATATAAAAGAATCTCATACTTTTTGAAGCTCATGCATTCTAAAGTTTGTGCTTTCTTAGGTTTTTATCATCTAAGACTTGTGTCTTCTTAGGCTTACACCTTCTAGGAGCTTGAAATGTGTCGGTGCTTTCTGAGACTTTTAATCTTCTGAGATCTTTCATGAATTTGTGCCTTTTGAGGTATTTGATTTACCTGTGTCTTCTGAGGCTTGTAGCCTTCTTAGGTTTCTGAGTGGAGACCCTATCAACCCTTTGTTCTCATGGAGTTTTTCCAATGAGGACCCTGCACACTTCTAAATTTTTATCAAGACTTGCCTCTTGTTCTGATCTTTCAAGGGCATTGTAGCTTTTCATTGAGTCTCGCCTCATTGGAGCAACTTTCAACGCTATAGTATTCTTTCATCAAGTTTTGCCTCTTGGGCTCGACTTTCAGGAGTATGGTAGCATCCCATCAAATCTTATCTCATAACCTCGACTTTCAGGGGTACTGTATATTCCCATCAAGTCTTGTCTCTTGAGCTCGATTTCTAGGAGTATGATAGCTCACATTGAGTTTTGCTTCCTGGGCTTGACTTCCAGGGGTACCACATCTTCCCATCAAGTTTTACCTCTTGAGCTCGACTTACAGAGGCATGGTAGCTTCTCATCAGGTCTTGCCTCATAGGCTCGACTTTCATGGGTATCGTATATTCCCATCTGATCATGCCTCTTGGACTTGACTTCTAGTGGTATGGTGGCTTGTCATAAAGTTTTTTCTCTTCATCTTGGCTTCCAGATAGATCTTGTGTGTCACTATGAAAGTTAAGACTTTCCTAGACTGTTAGTTGAAGCGTGTCTATCTGATGACTATAGACTGAGTTGGAGCGGAGTAAAAGTAGGATCCAATAAGGAAGTAAGATCTGACCTATGTTTTATTGATGGAGACACTCAACGACGAAACCCTGGCCCAAAGATCGCCACAAATATACCAATGATGGTTTACCTATCTCAAATTGTCGGTCAAAGCTTTTGCTTGACGAATGTAATCTGTTATGGAAGTGATTGAAGGAAATTTTTGACCTATCTGAGGTTGTTATTTGAAGCTTCTACTTGAAGATTGTAGTCTGTCATGGAAGAGCTCAAATTGAGTCCCCACTATGATCGGTCAAGCCCAGAATGAGGTGTTGAAGATGCTCTATGTTTCTCGAGGCTGAGGCATAGGACGTAATGAACCTTATGCTTTTATAAAGATTTGATTGTAGTCAGAATCAAGCATAAGGTTTTCCACACAAACATGTAAAACAATCCATGTATCGAACATTGAAGAGATCAACTTCCTGATCAGATTGAATAGGAACTCTAGTACAATGATGGGGCATTGAGGAAGTGTTATTTGTGTTGAAGATTGCTTCCAATCTTGGAGTGGTTCTCAAAGACTTATTATCTAAATATAATGTGGGATGACTAACCTGTCATAGTTGTGTCTAGGACATTAAATTGAACGACCATTCAAAACTATAGTGAAGGTTGCCCCGACCTGGAAGAAGTTGTGAAAGACTTTGTGTCAGAATATGGTGCGAGAAGACTACGCCACTACAATCGTGTCTAGGATGTTGATGCAAACAACCTTTCGAGAATGCAATGAAGTTTGCCTCCCATCTTGAAAAATGCTTCAGAGATGATCTTCAAGATGCAAAGGATGTTCCTTCGTAATTTGGATAATATACATCATTGGGAAACAAAGTAGATACTTATTGTCTCAGAGTTGAAGACAGTGTCAAACAGGATTTCAATTCTCACAGACAAATACTAAACTGATGTTGCTAGAAAATTCACGACAGTAGAGTAATGAATTCATCTTAGCATTGTACGAGAATTCAACACTCACTCAGATGAAAGAAAACAATCAGTAGAGACACCAGAAGCTTTTACGTGAAAAACTTGTAAAGGGAAAAACTAAAGGATCTGGTTTAACTGAATAGGTTCACTATAAACTTGAGATTACAAATACAATCTCTTGTCCCATGGGTGGAAAAGGGTTACACAATCTTTTGAGCAATAAAGTCGGTGCGCAGATGAACTTATCATAAGAATTGAGTAGCAACCGAGGCTGATCAACGACAACCATCTGGTGGTGGTTGATGGTGATTGACGACAGGTGTTCAGTGGTGGTTGGCAACCAGTGGTCGACGATGGTCGGGGACGATTTGATGATAAATTTCAACTTCTCCTCTAAGCTTTAGTTTTCCTAAGGCTTCAAACTCCTCCTCCCACCTCAAGTGGGAGATAGAGCTCTATTTATAGAGTTCATGTTACAATTAATAAATGAATATGAACCACTATGATCAGACGAACTAGAGAGATTCACTCAGTCAGACGACATTTGATGGACACTTGGGTGCCTCAACGATGTCAGACTTTAGCAATCTTGGCCTCTTTAGATTTATCTTATCGAAAAGCTCGATTCAATTTTAACTCATCAGATTTAGCATTTGTTTGACCTTCCAAATATACTCACACGTCTCATAAACGTAGTTAATGGGTTGATCGGAGCT